TTTTCTAATATCCACTCAAATTCCTTCCATTTAGCTCCCAAAGGATAAGACAAGAGTAGCCCACAAACCAGAGCAACTCCTCCCCAACATGATCTACCTTGTTCCTTTGCGAAGTAGCATTTTTGGGGAAAGAAGAAACCCCTGGCACTAACTACTTCCTAGAGAACGAATTTTAAGTCAAATATGGAAACTTCCTGAAGTTTGATATATGTTCAGAGGTAGAAAGAGATGAGCTTCATAGATTTTTAGGGTCAGAAGGGACCTCAGTAGATCATTGAGGCCCTTCCCTGGGCCCTGGGCAGGAAAGAGCGCTGGGGTCCCATGACCCCAGCCAGGTGTTTGCCAAGTCTCCTCTTAAATACCTCCAAGGTAGGGGAGATCATCACCTCCCTTGGAAGCCCATTCCAGACTGGTAACCCTTACCGTAAAGAAGTTCTTCCTAATATCTAGTCTAAATCTGCTCTTTGTCAGTTTGTGGCCGTTGCTTCTAGTTACTCCACGGGGCGCCTTGCTAAACAGAGCATCTCCTATACCTTGCTGCCTGCCCCCCTCCAGCGAATTTGTAGACGGCCACAAGATCCCCTCTCAGCCTTCTCTTGCGAAGGCTGAAGAGATCCAGGTCCCTCAATCTCTCCTTGTAGGACCTTTCCTGCAGGCCACTAACCATACGAGTGGCCCTCCTCTGGACCCTCTGAAGGTTATCCACATCCATCCTCAAGTGCGGCGCCCAAAACTGGACGCATTACTCCACCTGTGGCCTCACCAGTGCTGCACAGAGGGGAAGGATCACCTCCCTGGACCTGTTCATGATGCACCTGCTAATGCATGATAGGGTGCGATTAGCTCTATGGATCACTTCATCACATTTGTCGACTCATGTTCATCTTTGACTCCGAGATCCCTTTCTCCTGTTGTGCTGCTTTGAAAGTCATTTCCCAGTCTGAGCTGGATATCTGCAGTGTCCAGCTGGGCTCAGGAAACATCTACAGGTGCTGAAAAACCACAGCATTTTGTTGCTGGATATGAGCAGGTGGGAAGGTGCTTCCCAAAAGGGTTGCTCAAGCCATTCAGAATAGCTGTGAGCTGCAGGGTGTGTAGGTATCATGATGGGGAAATGGAGGAGAGGGGAGGAACAGTTTGCGATCTCCAGAATTGACTTACTGGTACCTAAGGAGCGGCAAAACAGTCCTCCTTTCCTCGAGAAGGAGGTGGGGAAAAAAAGGCTTATCTGAGGGAGGAAGCTTATAGGAGAGTCCGACCCTGCAGCAGCGTGCGTGGGGAAGTTTGCCCAAGAGAAATGGCAAGGAAACCACCCTCACCCCAAAGAGAAATCCTATTGACCTTTTACTTACTTCAATACAGCTATATAGACTCTAATATTAGATACTGTCTGGGGGAAAATGGTAATTATCTTAAAGATTAAGACTCAAAACTAGATCCAATTACATTGACTATCCATCAACTTATTCATGGATAAGGAGAGGAGTGATTTCGGGTTACTGCTTAACAATATCAACACTGCCCGGGATATGACTGAGAATCACAATCGCTCTTTCCTCACTGATTAAAAATCTGGACTATTCAGACCACTAATCTGGTGTCTGCTCCTTTCTGAATAACCTGAATCAGAATTGGACAGATGGAAAACAGCATGTAAACCTTAATTCCAAAGAATATCTCTAAACAATTCATTCTGATGGAGAGAATTAATTTGGAAGCAAACTAATTTGCTGTAATTGAGGTTATTATGCAAGAATATTTCCTAGATTCTTAAGACCACCAAGTAATCAGAATAAGAGAGAAACTGTAGTTGCTTTCTACCACCTCCCTTGTCTTACCCCTACTGCCACTTTCAATTCTCTAAGAAACTAGGATTCAAAGCGCTACAGAATTGATGGATACTTCGTCTAACAATACAACAGGTTTTAGAAAGGGTTGCAGCTAGATCTATTCTAATTTGTCTTGCTCTTTGATCCATTAAAACTATACTGACCTTGTGATATGATCCTGACTATGAGCCTAGAGAAACTGTGGCATCTCCATCCCTGGAAGTTTTCAAGAGCAGGCAAGACAGACACTTGGCTGAGAGGGTTTAATTAGAGATGATCCTAGCTTGAGCAGAGGGCTGGACTAGATGACCTTGTGAGGTCCCTTCCACCTCTACTTACTTACGATCCTATATATTATATTGACTGCTTTGAAAACCTGCATTTGATACAAATTTGTATTAAGAATTATTAAATCATCATTTTATAGTCACTTTATTTTTTAAGACCATAGGTGAAAGTGACTGGTGCATTGTCTGGCACTTTGGAAGAAAGTTATTCAAACATCTCCAGGAAGATCAATATATTAACATGCAAATACATTTTTTTTTTTGCTGACCCACTTAGAAACCTTTGATGTCAATACAGTATCAAAGGACTTTTATTATATATGTATAATACAACTGTTCACATATGGGGAAAGAATGTATTATGTCCCTTTCCAAGTTAGGGTACCTGTACAAACATTAATCATACCAATGCATATATTACCTAGCTACTAAGGTAACATTTTTACTTAATTACATTCAGGGATGTCTAAGGGGAGGTGGAGGGAATACCAGGGGAAAAAGTGGCCTGAATGCAGCATGTTGTGGGGGTTGGGAAAGACATAGCCTGAAGTAAGATAAATGCAAAATGCTTTGGTACACTGGTAAGGACTCCCACCACTAAAGCTGAAGGCATACTTTTGTATTTTGATTTTCATATAAATATAATTTTATATAAGACGCTGTTGGATCATAGACCCTGACCCTGCCAAGTTTTACCCTGGTGCGTAAGTTGGCCCACAAGCAAGGCATATGTGACAGCGGTATTTGAGTTCAAAACCAAAGGTATCTGGTGTGTTGGGGGTAGCACCAGCATGTGCGTGCATCCGATGGCAGGGGACTGCCAGGACTTGTGCTTGGTATTAAGTCCCAGGGAAGTGGTCCTTGCCCCTACCTTGGGCAAATTCAAGAGGAGGTTGGACGATCACCTGTCTGGGGTCTTGTGAACCCAGCATTTGTCCCTGCCTGTGGCAAGGGGTCAGGCTAGATGATCTGTTCAGGTCCCTCCTGACCCTCGCTACTATGAAACTATTCAGTAGCAATTATGCAACTGCATCCATCGCCGTGGACCCCCAGTCCCGGGCAGAACTCGACTGAAGTCAACGGGCCCTTTGCAGGGACAGTTTCAGAACCAGGGTTTAAATGCACGAACAGGTTTGGCTGGGAACAGTTTGACAGCTTTGTCTCCTTGGGATGATGGAGGGGGTGGGGATGAAGGTGCAATCCTTATCTAGGAAAACAGATTGCAGTAGTTTAGCAAAGATTTGGTTATAAAAACCCAAAAGGAACAATGAGTTCTCTAGGGAGAAAACTGTTAGTTGCAACCGTCTTTCCACCTAAAAAAAAATTGCCGAAGACTAATGAAAATAAAGAGAAACTACCTTCCTGAGACTAAGCTTAATGGCATGCATTAATCACTCTCCACTCCGCAAAATGGGTAAATACAATGTATTTTCCACTTTGCTAAATGAGCAAATAGGCTATACTAGTAAGTTTTATTTAATCTTGAGTTGGATAAAAAACTGCTCTGCTGATGACTGGCTGGTACTTAATAAATTCTAGCTCATGTAATAAACAAATTGATTCATCCCACAACCGTTCTTCCCCAGTAAGCATTACCGACTAACAGGGATATCAGCTGACCTGTAAAAATAATGCGAGTCACACAGTAAAAATGTGGATAGTTTGAAAACCGGATAAGATTTTAATAGAATTTCTTTCCTTGGCTACTGAAGCAATGGGTGCTTTAGGAATAGATAATATTAGTAAAACAATAATCCAGTATGCTGGCAGGTCAAGCAAATTTAAAGCAGAGAGCAACTTAGTCGCTCTGACAGAGCCAAGGCAGAACACCAGAGTTGGCAATTTAATGAATACTGGCCAGAGCCAGTTCTGGTGGGACGTGTTAGGTCCCTATCAAGCACATCTATTGGAGAATAAATTAGTCCTTTTAATCAAGTCATCAGCTGAATCTGTCTTGCATCCTAAATTGAAAGCATCAAACTGTATTCTGAATCCTTGACTCCTTTTCTTACTACAACACGCGACTGGTGACAAAGCCGCCTGTTTCTTTTTGAATTAACAGAGTCTTGACACTGAATCTTTAAATAAAAATAAGCTTGTGCACAGTCCTCTTGGTTTTTCTTTTCAAGTACTAAATGGCCTCTACAGGATCCCTATGATCCTACTTTCTTTGTGCTTTTTTTTTTCTCCCTTCCCGCTGATGGAAAACCACAGCAGAAAAATTAAGTGTTTTTTTTCCCCCAAAGACTAGTAGGAATCTGTAGCAGAGCCATTTATACACAATGCACCAAAGCAATTACAGATCAATAACATAATAACAGAAAAAAAATCACAATAATCAAAGACTCTCCAGAATTTCCACGTATGTAATGTTGCTTCCCAAATGCACAGTTATCCCAAATGTTCTCTTTACTTTCTGCATAATTGTAGCCATTCATTATTTTCTGCTCCAACATAATCCATGGCCTAATAAATCTAAATCTTAACATTATCCGTGCATTTAGTGAACCGGTCCTTGTAAGTTCACCTTTCACTCTGTGCTCCAAGGGAGATGTGATAGACGCACAATACCTACCCTAGGGTTTGGCTCAGAAATCACCAGAACTAAAACAGCCGCTGATCAGACACGAACTGACCGGTATTCAAATAAGTGGCAGGTTCCTGATCACCATAGACTCGAAATAAGCATTCAGCAAGGCTGACCCCTAGCAAAAATGTAGTGAATTGCAAAGAGAGCAAAAGCAGTTGGTTAAAGGCAGGCTAGGCACCCGGGTTAAGTGAATCGGAGTACGGCTGCTGCAAGAACCTAGATGCGAACAACTTAATGGAAAATAATCTTTGAAGGAAGCTAAAAATATCTGAATAGTATGTTGTGTTTTGTTACCTGGGGATCTGCAAACAACAGTCCTGTGTCTTTATGTTTTATGATGGCTGCGTTTCCAGGAATATTCCTTGCCAGCACTGGAACGTCTAAATCCATTGCCTAAAGCGGACAGGGAAAAAAAAACCCCAAGACAACAATTTTAGGAGAAGTTTGTACAGAGACGAAAATACTGCTGCAGTGTGAGCCGCCCCTTCCCAAATACCATGTTAACCACTTCATGGACCCTCGACATCAACACTTTTAAAATATTATCTTTGCTGATTGCCTTGACGGCTGCTGGATGGATGGTTCCTCTTTTAGTGCCAGTGTTCAAAGTGGTTACAGAGTTTCTTAGCAGAGGGGAAAGCTGAAAACCCTTACAAGTTCCTAATTTATAGCAGGAATTGAGGGGTTAAGATAAATCATAAGAAACCAGGGCTGGAAGGGACCTCCTAAGGTCATCAAGCCTCGTGCCCCAGCTCAGCGTGGAGGGGAGGGATGCTGGAACAAGCCAGTAAAGACGCTTGTAGACGCGACGGGACTTCAGTCCTTAGGGTTGCAATCTATGCCCCCTAAACCAAAATGGTGGTTATTTAATTGCAACGGTGGGGTTTTATTTTTCTGTCCCTGTTATGGCAAGGGGTCCGATCCTTTTTTCTCTTTTGGCGGAGCCTGCCCAACACTGGGGGGGGTGGGTTGAGTGGCCCCTGAGATGCGGGGGTGCCCCGGTCCTTCCCTCTATGGTGGTGGTGCCCTCAGGGGCCACCTGGGAGGTCTGCTAGTAGGCCAGCTTGGAGGCAGCACCTGGTCTGATCCAACTCTTCCCCGACCTCGGGCTGGGGCAGCACCTGGCCTGCCAGCAGCCCTCCTGGGCAGCCCTCGGGGGGGGCCCGCCACTGTGGAGGGAAGGACCAGGGGCCCCTGCAGCTCAGGGGTTGCTCGGCCGACTGACAGCTTCCCCCCCCCCCCCCCCCCCGGTCATGGGAGACGCAGGCAGGCTCCGCCGGGGGGCAGGAGGGGAGAATCGGGCCCCTTGCTGCTTCTGTTTTCAGCAGACACCTGCTGAAGGCAGAAGTGGCGAGGGGCTTGATCCTTTTTTTTCTGCAGAGCCTGCCCACCTCTCCCGTGGCTGGAGGGTGAGCTGACTAACAGCCACACTGCATCGCTGCTAACTAAATTACATTGAGATGTAGTTTAGTTTGCAACAATGCAAGCTGATTTGAAACCCCCAAAGCCCTTGCACGTGCACAGTGTGACATTTTCGTCACATGGACATGCTAATAGTGTCTTGTGTACAAGCGCCCTCTGTCTGCAAATTGTGCCCACTTCTGAGTGAGAGTCTGGCTCGTTGCCTTGAGATCTGCAGAGCTCAAACCCCACAATGTGCCCCATCAAGGCCGTGCTGTGAGGCCACAGAAGATGTGGCAGAACCAGAACTGCCCTCACCTGAGTAGCTGCAGGTTGCCTGCTAGACAGATGCAGGGAAGGGGACATGGGGTTGCTGGCTGCTGCTTATATCATTTCAGACTGTCTGCAGATCCAGGTTTCTCTCGCACGAATCATGACCTTTGTGACTATATGTTATGGCTAGAAACTTTTAAAACTAGAGTTCAAATATTACAGCAACCAGTGGGTGAGACCTGGTCACCCTAGAAAAGACTCTACCTGCTGCCTACTTACGCATTTGTCAAGCCCCAATTTGAAATTTTAATTACTATTGCTGGCTTTGGAAATCTCAAAATGCATCGATTCAGAACAAATAAAGTCTCGTCTTGTCCAATTATCACAGTGTCAAACAACAGAAAGAAATTCACTCCACAAAATGTTCAATCTATTTCATACTGATTCACTGTCACTTTAGCGAGAATGCAGTTTTAATTACTGTCATTATAGTCTCTGATGGAGAGCACTTTTCCTTCAGTCTAAGTGGCATGAAAACAAGGCTTAAGGTGGGGGACAAAGAAATGGGACAAAACACTTGTTTTGTTTTTAAATCTGGACAAAACTGGAAAAAAAAACCCCCACAAAAGCCACAGCCCATAATATGCGATTCCAATTATGATCTGAACAGTAAAGGAACGCCTAGCAACAGGTGTTAATAGTTTAAGGTATCCAAGGGAAATATAATTTCACTGCAGAGAAAACTGCCTTGGCTACACCAATCCTAGTCCTTCTGGCATCCACATCCGCTTTGCCGTAGTTAGCTTGAAAAGTATAATCCTGAGTGTTACATCTGGTCTAGACTTTACACCAGAAAACAGTAGGCTAACTGGAGTAACTGGGATTGAGGAAGGGGAAAAACAGATTATGCAGCTGGAGCTAAGGGCTAGATTTTCTGAAGACATCTTGGAACCTAAAGACATAAGGGTGTGCCTCGGCGGCAGAATTAGATTAAAAATATTTACTCGCTCGGGATAGGTGATTATGGTTCAATTCTTCCCCTGTGCCTTGAGGGCATTTAGATCCACATCCATCACCTGCCAGAATCACCTGATCATCAGCCTAGATCAGGGGTGAGCAAAATGTGGCCCGGGGGCCAGATGTGGCTCGCCAAGCCATTCTATCCGGCCCTTGGGACAAAAAAAAAAATGTGGAAAATTAATATTAATCTGTCCCTGGCTGCCTGTCATGCAGCCCTCAATGGCTTGCCAAAACTCAGTAAGCGGCCCTCCACCCAAAATAATTGCCCACCCCTGGTCTAGATGATCCCCTGGGATGAGGCATTCTCCATTTCTTCCTTTGTCCTCTGTCCACTCTGTCTGGATCCAACACTGGTACTACGAGGTAGTAATTTTACTACTAGATCGCTGAATCTTTTTTCCAGGTCAAATTTGTCTAACTTCATCTTCCTGACACTTGATGCTGTTATGTCTTTTTATCAGTAAGACTGAAAAGTTCCCCAGCTATTAGGCCCCTTTTTCCATGAATCTATACAGTGATCAAGTTGCCCCTCAACTTTCCTGGGGCCCAGATCCCCCAGATGTCAGGAGAGAGAAATGGCCAGCAAATACTTATTTCAGTGTTTTGTATTTCTCCTTCAGTTTAAAAACTGCTGGGGTAGTTCAAACCTGGATACTTCATGTGGCTTTTGCCATATTGACACAACTTTTCTAGATGCTCTCTCCCAGTGAAATAAAACCTTGTTCAGAGAAATAATCCCTGTATCTATTTTTCAATAGATTGCTCCAGAATCCGTTGTGGTGACTACCTGCCACTTGCTAACTGGGGAATGCAGGGCAAGTAGGATAAAACCAGGCAGCTTTCACTCAAGCCACATCCTGAACAATTCATTAACCACAATGGCAATATATACAAAGGTTGACCAACCAACGTATGAGTGTCGTGTGCGTGGCTGTCTAATGCTGAGTTTCCTACACATTGTTCTGCTGAGCCAGGTCTAGCCTGCAGAGCACTGCTCGTTGTAGGACCCCCTTCTCCGAACACCATGCAAACTGCAGCTCACTACAGTTGGCCACAAAGTTCACATTTCGTTTCCCAGCACTGCTGGGGAAAGGCTCTGTTCTATCTTTGGGAGTCTGAGGGCAATAAACACAACAAATTAAAAAAAAAACCCCTCTGAGGCCCCAAATCACATAGGTGCTGATGAATTACAGCCACCAAATGACAGAACAGATGGCCAAATACATAAGACAAGGGTTGGCTTTCTACCAGCCAGACATACACAAATGAATTGTGCTGTAAATAATTACTTCATAAAGTGGCTTGGAATTTAATGCAGGCGCTTAGTCTATTTTTAAGCACTAAAAAGAATCATTTGCATTGTTGGAAATATGTATAATTCACTGACCTATAGCACCTGCAAATAATGGGTTAAACAGCAATTAATCTGGATGGCCATCTGGTTTGTCACATTATTTGGCCTGCAAATATGTTTTAGTAATTCAGAAGAATGTAGGGTATAAATTTACTTTTCCAAGCATAACACACAATGCACGTTTCCTACTAGTCAGGGTAAGGTTTGGGAAAGGAAATGCAGTTTTTGCTTGATTTCCTGACTTTCTGGAGTTTCCTTCTCTGCCTTCATAATCGGTGGGTTAAATTCCAAGGCACTAGTGCTGGACTTCGCATGATGGCTGAGGCTGGATTTTGTACCCTAATTACAATCTGCTAGAAGGTACCCACCTCTCAGTGCTTCGATTTCTACACTGCGTTTTCTTTATTTGACTCCCTGATTTAGGCTACGGACAATAATTGCAAATAAACCTGTATAAATGATTGGAAACCGCTTCAAATCTGTAACACAACAGAAGTTCATTGCACATAAACCACTTTCAAAATGGCCAAAAGCAATTTAAGATAAACCTGAATGGATGTGTATCTGACTTAACTGACTTAGGTTAAATTGATTTATTGAACTTTTGTCCCAGATCCCCTCCAGATTCAAGTTAACTCACAGCCCCCAGCATGCTTCGCACCTCCCCCCAAATCCCGCCCCCCCACCACCTTGTAGAGTGGGTGGGCTAGCCTTGGCCCAAGCTGTCTGCAGGGAGGTGTGCTTGAGTCCCTTCCTACCCCAGTTTCTGGCCTGGGCCACTGTAGGCACGTGGCTGCATTTCCAGAATCAAAAGTGAATGTCTGTTGACTTGCTATTGTTTCAATCTGTGCAGTTTAGACTAACCTACAAAGATTGAATTGCTTCAGCCTTGGGCTTTTTGGCTGTCTGTACTTAGCCTTAAAGGTTGTATTAGTTGCAAGATCATGATTTTTAAAACCCCTGCAGCAAACAGTAGACTGGAGGAGTGGGTTTCTGGTGAAAGGCTGTTGGGGTCAAAAAGCTTTGGTTCATCCACTCAAATGTATAATCTGGGCAGCACTAATAGGTTTCAACTGAAAGAGATCTGTATGATGTGGATGCTAGTTGACCAGATGAACTAGAGCAGAAGGTGCTCAACTTTCCAGCCCCACAGGCTGGATGAGTCACGTCATGCCTGTCCTCAGGCCAGATCCGCTGCATAGGGTCTGCAGGCTGGACACAGCATCGGTTCAGTGTTGGGGGCCAGTCTGCAGGTGCAACCTGAGTCCTGCATGATCTAGCCATAGCCTGGCCTCACGCAGCGGCCCTGCCCCACACACTAGATGCAGCCATGACCAAGCCCTGC